ATAACAAGCTCTACCTGTTTTCCTCGGCTGTCTGTGTGTCTAAAGTCGTTTGCATGAACTCCCTGATGGCGTTGAGTAATCTCTGAGCCTCTTCCTCTGACAGTGTGATCCCATCTGACTCCCTGCTAGATCTGAAAAAGCCATATAATGAGTGTTAATAACTTTTTGCCATAAATATTTTAACTATCTGTTGCCTCACCTGGATGGGGCTGCATATATCTGGCAGATGACCAGGGCGTAGGCGACAAGGACAGTCCACAGTTTGAGTGTTATCATGGTTTCCTATAAAAATACATTGAGTTTCAGAGATGATGATGGTTTTAGCACTGCACACACGGTGACCCCGAGCCATAAAACCTAATGGCATTGGATGTGTGTCTTCATTATGTGTCCAAGCCCCCCCCCCCCCATCACATATACTGGAATGTATAAATCCTCCCCCCTTTATACCACCTCAGTGTTAACGTCACTGACTTATCTATGATACAGTGCCAGCCAATTCTGCTGCTGCTCCATTAGCGAAATTAACTGCAGTGGGCTAAAAATAATAGAAAGTCCACAAACCCGCACCATTGCAGTATAGTTTTAAAGTTTTTTTTTTCTATTTACTTATTCATATCTTCAGTTAAACATGCACTACCCAAATATCACTAATAATTTACGACTTTTGGAAAAACTTAATATGCAATGAAATAAAGATAAAGTATACTTACTGAGACTTGTAGGAGCAGTTTTAAGTCGCCAGTTCTTGTCAGTTGTGAATCTGCTAAACAGTCACTCACAGCAAGCTTTTATATACTGTTCATTCTCAGTGGGATTCTGCACCAAGACGTCCACCAGTGTCTCTCCATTGGCCAGTCAAGTCCCCTATCACAACTTGCCAGCCAATCACACGCTCTATATGCATCCCAGGGAGCCAGTCACAAGCCTGATGGGGAATGACATCAATGTATGGTCACATGGGTTTAATTCACAAAAAGATGCCAGGTCCGAGTGAACTAATGTATGCATATAGACCAGGGGGCTGCACGGGCATGTTATAGCCCGCTCCAGTGCTGCTGCATGACGTAATGCTGAAGATGGGATTGTTTGCTCCGTGGTCAATCAGGAGTGCAATGTTTAGATGGATGGTTTACACAGGGGCTTTGTGGGGAAAGCCACATCTAACCTGAACTAATATAACATCATCATTGTGTAGTCATTGATCAAGTGTGTTTTATTGGGAGGAGAGAAAGTTTAAAGCACCATCTCAAGATTTATGAAGTCTGCAAAGTAGTGGGTGACATTTGGCTAGAGCTAACACACTACAGCAACACTGCAAGAAATGGTAACCTTTAATTAGTTAGACACACAAATTACTAAATAGGTTTGTACTGCATTATAATAACTACACCTCTGTTAGCCTTAATAAAACATGAGCAATAATTTAATTCATAATTAACAGATCATTTATTATGAATTATACTACTATTTAATTAAGGGGTTAGGTATTAATTAAGTAGTTACGTTAAGTCTGAATCACTCTTAATAAACTATTTGTTCATTATAAATTATGAATTTTATCATCATTATAAAGTTTTTGTTCATGCTTTATTATGGCTAATTAAAGAGTAGTTATTTTTAGGTGTTACTGTATTCATTTTAACTAGTGTTAAGTGTTTTGTTTGACATAACACCTATTAATTTTGCCAAAGTAAATCTGCTATACAACAAGCACAGACCAGCCTATTGTTTTGGCATATCCATTATACTGGTGCCAGTTCTAGTGCAATTTCTTCCTTCAGGCTTGAAAGGTTTACTAATAATCCTTCAACTACAATTATCTTTCTGCTTTACAGTGATAGATTGTGGGATCAGCACAGTAAATTATGTGCCCCTAGTGGTCAAGTTTTTCAGGTTCCAGGAATAAAAAAAGAAGAGAGGAAAAAAAAAAAACTGAGTTTAGGATTGGCACATATACACAATGACTAAGACATAATACAGAAATATGGACAGTTTGGACCAAAATGCAATATCACTTATCACTTATCACTGCAATTGAGTTTTATTTATAGGCATTGTTTCTCGCCACACCCGTATTGCTCATTATATGAAGTACCAGAATATGGGCTGTGTAATGTACTTGGACGATTTAAAGTTTTTGTCATCCTTTTGCCGTTCATTACTCTCCATTGATAAAGCTTACACCAGAATGCAGAGGCTTCCGTGCATTTTTTTCCCACTTAATTACTGGGCTGCTGGGTTGAGGCCATCTTCTAATTCCCCTTATGTAACAATAATTGATGATGTATCGTAAAGCATCCTGCCTCCCCGCTCGCATTTACGTCACAAGGAAACTCAATAATGTGAATGGGCTTTTTAGTACTACTACTTGGCAGACGCACAAGGCCCACACCAGTGCACTACATTATGCTTTAACAGCTTTACATGCTGTTGCAAACTGGCCAAAGAGGACTGGAGACTGTCGAGCAATCAGAAGCATCAGAAAACCATCTTTAGACCTGTCAAATGGACACGATTTAGATTAGTAAAAATGATGAGCGCTAAAAATTCCAATGTAGATCACTCAGATCTGGGGTTTTTGATGATTATAGCTAAAACGTAGAGCATTTAAATCCTGAGTCACAGTATTGCCAAGATGTGGTGGCTTATCCTTTTTGGGGTAGCACAGTTAGCAGTTTGCCTATGATTTCCTTCTTCTAATGAAACTGCACCAAAAATACCCACAGCAGACTAAAGTAACTAAAATTACCTAAAAGCAGAACTCATAAAAGTAGCAGACAATACACAAAACTGTTCTCTGTAATGACCAAAAGGGTTAATTACCACTTACCACTTTTATACATTTTAAGGTTATACATTATAAGGCTACAATAAATTACATATTCAAACAATATTTTTTATCTTATTTGTTGATATTTGCAGGTATTTACATCAGGGGTCTTAATCATCACTTTTATATGAGTGCTTTGTGTGCATCTGAACTATTTTATGATTTAATAAAGTAAACTAATAAAGTTTATTCTTTTTAGTTTCTGATTCATGCCAACTAAACAAGCTTGGAGTTGATGGCAAATATGGCATTGTGGCATCACCACCATCAGCATTTGCCAAGAATAGTTGCTCTGGACTGCACCACTCTTTGGTCCAACAGACACAATGACGACATTCCAAGGGGACACATGAATTGTCAAGAATGCAATTATGCCACACGGTTCACCGTCATTAAAACTTGGGCATGAATTGGCCTGGAAAATTAATTGCGCTCAGAGGAGAGCATTGATGACAGAGGGCAGCGCTGGTCTCTCTGCAGCACTCAGCAGTGACAGTCTGAGGCAGTCACATGCACCACAATGCTTGGCTCCAGTTTGTGCTAAAAAGTCCCAAAGAGAATTTCCTTAAAAACTCTCAAATTGAAAACTTTGACATAGAATTTTGTATGTTCAGCATTTGATAATAGCAATAGCATCAAAAGTACAAATTGGACATAAGGGATCTAAGCATATTTATTTTATTAGACCCAAATGAGAGTGTTCGCCAACCATTTAATGCATTAGACTTCCAAATCCAGGCTTTTAACTGTGCCAACATTTACACACCTGCAGGAAGGTGCACGGCCATTATCTGGCTCTTCCTGATTCCATTAAGATTTTGGACAAGATTGAATTTAAAGTGCACTTGAGCTATCCTCATCTGTACATGGCTTAGTGACCAGTCGTAGCCCCACTCACTCACAGCTGGTAATTGTCATTGAAAGAAGTGTAAAAATGTATGCACATTTTAAAATGTGAAAAAGTTGTAATGTTTGGTAATGTTTCTTTACTTTATGATAAACATGGCAAAACAAATACATCAGAGATTGGATCCTAAAACTTAGATCCTGAGCATTTCATTGACGTGTGAAAGATTATGAGATCAGTATTTTTTTTAACTTATGTAAATATCCCTGTTCAAAATAAAACTCACAGATTGGCACCTGACACGCTGGTGGCTGCTGAGGTGATTAGCCCATTTGCTAACAGGATAATACTACAGTGAGGACACGTTTATTTGATTACATCTGACAGATGTGTTTAATGTCTCCAGAATGACTTTACAAACTGGGAGCTGGCAGGAAGCAGAGAAGTCATTTGCAAGAATGTTCTCATTAGATGGCCTAACAAATGTGAGTGACTGGGAGAGGCCTGGAGAGGCCATTGGAGACATGGCAGAGGAAGAGAAGAACCAGAGAAAACATGGCTTCCACCACAGCAGGAAGGACTGGCTAAATAAACAAGCCCTTAATGAGGAGATGAACAAGAACAAACCACACCAAAGAACTGTGCAGTTTTTAACTTCACTAATGACTGAAACTTTAATCAGATGTAAACTTGAAATGTAAAAAACATATATATTTCTGTTATTTATATGGATTTGTCTGTGGTTTGAATGATGCATTTTAAAGCAAAGGGGTCAAAAGGCTGCGGTACAAAAAAAGAAAGCATTGAGCTGACAGTCTGGAATGCAGTCTGTGCCCTGACCTCTGACCTCTAAATGTGGTTTAGAAACTTTGCCTCTGCCTTGCAGATGTGCAATATGCAAACGTAGACTACTGCTTTACCTTTGTGTAATTGATGAGTTTTTTTTCTATATTAGTCACAGTAGCCGATGCATGCACATGTAATATCATATGCAAACTACTGAAATACTTTTTGCTGCTGTTGAAATACTTCCAACTGAGCCGCGTTCTAAAGCTCATTTTTGTGAAGTAGGCTACGCTTAAATAAAACCGCAAACACATGCGCAGACTGTGCAAATGCGTTTCAATTTAAGAGTTAATTCGATCGTTCTAAAAAGTGATGGTTTTGGATCCATGCCAAACTTTAGCCCGTACCCAGTCTACAATTATCCGGATTATTGATCAGGAGTAGAACAAAGTTCACCAACAGCTGACTCTGTCTTTCTGGCCAATCTTAGCCAAAGAGGCGGGGGATAGAAAATGTGCAAGATGATACTTGTGGCTCAGTTTGTATAAGGAGAAGCAGGAAAGTCAGCTGAGCTCCTGCAGAAACTACTGACAAAGATGGTTTCCATCAGAAGTCCGGGACTGATGCCGGTGTCGTGTGCGCAGGTTCTGCTCGCTCTGGGCTCTATGACTTCCGTGCTGCTCGTGCTCTTGTTGGTTCGTCAGCTCGTGAAGCAAAGGAGACCCGCGGGATTCCCCCCGGGTCCGTCCCCCATCCCCATCATCGGGAACATGATGTCTCTGGTTACTGAGCCGCACGTCTTCTTGAAGAAGCAGAGTGAAGTTCACGGACAGGTAAGCGCTTTGCCCTTGCGCTCCTTTGCGGCGTGTGACCCGACAGGCGCTCCCCCTGACGCGCGCGCACATACACACACAATCATACTTACAAGTATAGGCGCACTGCTCGGAGACACTGAAACCAACCACCACACTCACTCATGCATCATTGACTTTTAATGATGGTGGGGCTTAAATACTACATGTCATACATAAAACAGCAAGAAAAAAAGAAAACACTGACTAGACAGAAACACCCAATTCCAACACCAGCTGTCTACCAGAATGCAAAGAGTCCCACAAAATTCACAGCTCACTGCATAAATGTAGAAATTACTGCAAGTAAGGAGCCCTGAATAGAAACATGCAAATGCTACTGAGTCAATGATTTGGACATAAGCTGTGTAGGATAATCTTTAACGCCAACTGTTAACAAGTGTGACTTCATGTTGCAGATCTTCAGCCTGGACCTTGGAGGTATCCTGACTGTTGTGCTAAATGGATATGACTGTGTGAGGGAATGTCTGTACCATCAGAGTGAAGTGTTTGCCGACCGGCCATCTCTGCCTTTGTTTCAAAAGATGACCAAAATGGGAGGTAAGACACTGAAGATTGAAGAGGCAGCCATTGTTGTCATTGGTGGTGGTTAAGTTGTGTGTTGTACTTTCTGTGTTATACAGGACTTCTCAACTGCAAATACGGCAAAGGCTGGATTGAGCATCGTAAACTGGCCTGTAACTCCTTCCGTTACTTTGGCAGTGGCCAGAGGCTGTTTGAGAGGAAGATCTCAGAGGAGTGCATGTTCTTTGTTGATGCCATAGATGGATACAAAGGAAAACCATTCAACCCCAAACATTTGGTGACCAATGCTGTCTCAAACATCACTAATCTCATCATCTTCGGACAGCGCTTCACATACGATGACAAGAACTTTCAGCACATGATTGAGATCTTCAGTGAGAATGTGGAGCTGGCAGTCAGTGGCTGGGCCTTCCTGTACAATGCTTTCCCCTGGCTGGAGTATGTGCCGTTTGGAAAGCACCAGAAGTTGTTCCGAAATGCTGCGCAGGTCTATGACTTTTTGCAACAGGTTACAGATGGCTTTTCACAAGGCAGAGTGCCACATGTACCAAGACATTATGTGGATGCATATCTGGATGAGTTAGAACAAAATGCAGGAGATCCTTGCTCTTCATTTTCTAAAGAGAACCTGATCTACTCTGTGGGTGAACTGATTATAGCAGGGACTGAGACCACTACTAACACTCTGAGGTGGGCAATGCTTTACATGGCCCTCTACCCAAATATACAAGGTGAGTTCAGTAGCAAATGGATCTATATGATAATACATAATATGGTGATGATGATTCTAATGAATGTATTTTCTCTTTTTCAGAGAGAGTACACAGAGAGATTGACAGTGTGCTGACCAATGGCAGGATGCCCACTCTAGATGACAAACACAAGATGCCATTTGTTGAGGCTGTCCTGCATGAAGTGCTGCGCTTCTGCAACATTGTCCCTCTGGGAATCTTCCGAGCCACTTCCCAGGATGCAAACGTAAACGGCTACAAAATTCCCAAAGGCACAATGGTGATAACCAACCTCTACTCAGTACACTTTGATGAGAAGTATTGGCAAGAGCCTGGAGTGTTCTCACCACAGAGGTTTCTGGACAACAATGGCAACTTTGTTCGGCGAGAGGCCTTCCTGCCCTTTTCTCTAGGTTAGTTTGATTCTTCGGGAGCATGTTTGAGATCATTTTATGAAATTCACAAAATGTTCTAAAATGTGATTCTTTCTCTTTTGGTTAGGAAGACGCCAATGCCTGGGTGAACAGCTGGCCAGAATGGAGATGTTCCTCTTCTTCACCACATTGCTCCAAAGGTTCCACCTGCAGTTTCCTCCAGGAACAGTCCCCTCGGTCACTCCCAAACTGGGCATGACCCTTCAGCCCAAGCCTTACTCCATCTGTGCTGTGCGCAGACAACACAGAGGCCCGAGCTCTGCAGACACTCCTTATCACATGTAGAAAGTGTACTTGTATTTACTGTTAGTACTGTTCTAGCTGTACTGTGCGTGTCAGAGCACTCAGCTTGTGTTACTGCACAGATACTGTGGGGGTTTGAGCTTGCTGCTCTGAGCAGGTTTTCTAAGGACAGAGGGGTTGTTCTTAACATACGGACACACTGTTTTTTCACGTGGTATTGAGATCTTTCACCGCATATTTGCACAATTCTTTAATAAGAATTAGCTGGGAGAGTTCCTGAAAACACAAGTATGACACTGAATGTTGCACAGACAGACATGGGGATGTCTGTGACCCTGGTGTAGGTGAATGATTGACAGTATGTACACCCTCATGGTTCATAGGCCTGACTCCTCAGGACAAGCTCAGGTTAGATAAATGACACAGTGGATTGGACGTGTGGATCGAAATGAGGCTTTCCACGAAAGTTCTGATCCCTGTGAGCTGGAGCTGAACACGGGCCAAGTCTGACGTCATGTGGGCTGAGCGCCTCCCTCTCCTGGGAGTGTGCAGTGGAAAGTCTCAGAGGGACCGGTACAGCCCTGCTGGTTTGAAATACGGTCTCACTTAATGGTGCTTATCAGTGCTAACAAGCTCTGAATTGTATGTAACATTGTTATTGTGCATTTCTTTTGTGTTATGGTTTATTAAGTCTTGATAAAGTTTCTTTTTATAAGTTGGATGTTGTCACCTGTCTTTCTTAAACACTGGAAAATATGAGATTCAATGAAGATTTAATAGGCACTTATCAAACAAGGGATTACTGTGTGAACCCCAAAACATCAACCTATTACCTATTGGATAATGGAAAAGCCCCAGTCTTAACACACTGCAAGCTGCACAGTGACTGACCTGTGTCACCTACACCACACTATACCACAGGATTTTAATGAGTGTTCTTTGTCACTACATAATTGTATGTAATGTGTAAAACAGATGTTTTCAGTTATTATCCAGACTTATTCCACAGATGGAAAAATGGGAGGGGCTTTGCTGAATTTTAGATGTCATGAGATTTCTTGTGTAAATAGTAACCAACTCACAGTGTTGTCAAAGGATTCAAGTAGGACTATTCACTGTATTCTGGACAGTCAAAGGACAATGGAAAATGGCAGTGTTGTATGTACAATATATCACACAGACACACAGACCAATAAAACTAAAGAGAAGTACTGATACTTTGGGATGGTGCTTTATGACAGCTATAAATAACAACAAAAATCACTTGCCCTCACAACGTATGCAGATAAGGGTGAAGGATTACATTAGACAAATGTACACATACTGATGCTACATTTAGGGAACATTTGAGGACATTCATGGGTGATTACTCAAGAAGTTTAGGCCAGGAAATGTTGAGAACTAAGAAGGCTTTAATGGTTCAGAATGGGGGTGAGTATGTGATATGTGTCAGGCAGAAGTTGAAGTTATGGCATATTGTTCCACAGACCTTAAAGAAAGGAAGATAATGCTTTGTCAAGAAAATGTAATGAAATCTAAAATAGTTGAATTGGCAGAGTACAGCAATTCAGTAAATATTGGAAAAATATAAAAATATATTAGAAAATATTTCAATTAATGTACTGAAATGCTTAACTTGTTTGTTTTTGTTTTATTGATCTGTGGCTATATTAAAGATTAAATTCTAGGCTATATGCAAGCTTAATTTGTTAGTATAGCAAAATGAATATGATTCATTGAAACAGTGGTAATCCTAATGAACATATGCCACAACTTTTATTAAAATATCCACTCCCTGCACACTTCTAAAATGGAGTAGACTGAAGCTCCAGCAACACAATGTAATTTCCAGGAGAGTAAAAAACAGATGCATTTGTTTCATTGTTTAAAAATATAATATATTATATGCTAATATTTTTGTACAGAGGCTTAACACTTGTTTGGTATTAAAATGTGCACACCTGTATTCAGTAAGGTCTTGTATGTATAACGAATACAATGCTTCTGATTATTAATGACAGTTAATATGACACAGGAGACTAGACCTTCTCTTTCATTAAACATTAGAGTTATTGTATTGGAATGCCAAGTGTTCTTCATCGAGAAAAAAATTAAAATAAAACAAAACCTGGATCCCTTCTTCAAACACTAATTTGAAAACTAAAAAGACGAGAATAACTTAATTAAAAGTTCCAACACAGGTATATGCAGATGAAATACAGTCTTTTTGTCAAAAATACCTGTCTGACATTAACAAAAACATTTCTCCATTGAGCAAGTAAACCTAATGCAAGCAGTGTATGAATAGCCCCTTGAGTTGTTTGTTGTGGATGTTGTTCATGAAGAGATTACAAACTGCTTTCATCACCCAGATTTTAATGATCTTGTTGAAAGTGTCATATAAATGACAGAAAATTTGAACTTTTTGAAAATCCTGAGTTACCTTTAAAAATACTTATAATCAAAAATATGATCTGAATGCAGTATTCTTAACACTAGAGGACATTTGACTGATTAGGTGCCAATCATTGAAAGGACACACAAACAGACACACAAAATAACATAATAAAATAATAATAAAAAATGTGCTCTCTTTCTCCCTGTCATTCTCTGGTCATGCCCCTAACCCTCCAAACAAATAGTTCAACATAAAGACAGGTGGTACACATGAATAAAAGCATCCAAAATGATGCAGGCATAATGCAATTCATCAGTCAACTTCAGTTAAGTCCCTGTGACTGAGTCGATACAGTGTTTTGTGTCGCCAGCAAAGAGAGAACTACACGAGCCAAGGCTCTGGGCCGATATGAGGGATCAGACAGGCACATTTGATATACTGTGTGTGTGTATATACAGTGAGTATATACTCTATTCAAAAATAGACTGACACAGAGGCTCTCCTAGTCTCTTGTCCTCCTTTTGCTTGAACTTTGGTAAAGGGTTTTAGGTTCTTCATAACTTCTCTTGCTTCTGTGTTGCCTCTACTCTGTTTCAAATAGAAAGGTTTGTTTTGTACCTAAGGGAGGTTTAAGCGCTTCGCATTAAAGGCAGCATCACAGCCAGGTTACCATGGAGGCCAGCAGTCTTCTTCTGCACTCTCCTCAGTTCTGGGCTGCCAAGACGCTCCATGGGCTGAAAGTGCATAGGAGTTGGGCTCCCACTATTGCAGCAAGGATCCGCTCACAGTAGTAAGGCCATTTAGTTTCTCCATAGAACATGACTGCTAAGCAGAGTGTCTGCACAGTGAATCTTCAGATGTGTGTGAGGGGACATATGTGCATCAGTCTGTGTGTTTGTTAAAGGCATGTGATCTCCCCTACACTCTACAGTATGTGTGTCCTTCTTGGGTGTGCTACTGCCGTTCGTCTCCCTCCTCTTCCTCCTGGATGACCTGGATGTCATCTGATGATGAGGTGGGGAGGCTGGGCGGTAGGCTGGTCAGCAGACTCTCCACTGGCTGCTTGTCTTTGCTCTTGTCCTCCTCCTCAATGATTTTCTTCCACACTTTATGGTTCTCTGTCAAGTGGTGCATTATGTTGCAGAACAACCTGCGCCGCTTCTTCCTTTTTTCTGAAACATAAAAGGCAGATGTTTAATCAAGTCCACTCTTAACTGTACACATAATGTGACATGTCCTAGACTCTTACTTGGTGCCAGCTCATCTTCAAGCTCATCCTCTTCTTCATCATCTTCCTCTGACTCTGAATCCTCTGGTCCCTCTTCATCATCTTCATCTGATGCGTCCTCATTAATCCACTGCCCTGGAAGAAGGCCTGCTGCGTCATATGAGTTACACAGTGGCCCCACTATATGAGTGATGAAAGACTCCTGAAGTTTGGCCAGCTGCGGTGACGAGCGGTCCATGAAGGGGCTGATGGGTAATCCCAACTGGGCCTCCTCATCCCCCTATATATCAACGATGAGAAAATCCACACTTTAAGTAAAACTTGTGATGTAATTAAATATTTAGGCAAACAGACACTTGACTACCTGCTCATAGAATTCATTAACAATGCCTTCTGTCCACTTGAGGTGCAGATCCCGGACTTTGGCTGGTCCGTTAATGTCTGCCAGCTTAATACACACTTGGCACACCAGCAGTCTGTCATTCTCATTGGTCCAATCAATTCCTGGGCTGTTCACATCATTTACCTTTAAGATAAAACAAATTTAACTAATCAGGAAAGATGATTTGCAGCCTAATGCATATGCCATTATGACTTTGCTATGATAATAAAGTTGAGAGTTTGTTATTTTAGACCTTGGAATTGAACTCAGCCAGGAAATCAAAGTGCTTCTTGAGGTCTGTGGCCAATATTGCTTCGATGACGAGGAAGCGGAAACGTTTAAATTCAACATGATCCAAATTGACCAGGAAGTTAAACTCAGGCCGCGACAGGTAGAGGCTCCAGGCAGCTGCTGCATGATGGTTCTCCAGCACTGAGCGGTCATTGTACAAAACTGCCTAAAGCACATACAGGGAAGTCAATAATAATAATAGTCAATAATCATAATGTGCAAATTAACAAAGCCAAAAACAAAATGAAAGTAAGTATACTAGGTTGTGTAACTCTGTTCTCTTGAAATAGTGATGAAACTGCACTGTTATATGACTACAGATAATGCTGAGGGCTTATGAAGGTAAAGGAAGTTGTGGCGGCTAGAGATACTAAAAAAATGATCTGTTTAGAAACACAATCATTATCTACAATCAATATCTTTTGGTTCCTCCTCTTTCTTTTAACCCACTTTCCTCGGAATTTAGACAATATGAGCCTTATCGTTGGCCATGTTGTGAAAATACAATATTTGAACTAGGACACAGACCTCACCTCCTGACCGGACCTTTACTCAGCTGTCTAACGATAGTGCACACGTTTCATTGACTAAACTTAATTTAACTATTTTTATCTTTCTGTAAACAGGACTTTATCTATGTAGCCCCATCTTAAAAAGGAGCAATGGATTAAAAAAAAATAATAGAGATTTAACAGAAATAGTAAAAAATACTCTGTATATTTAGTACCTGAGGTGCATTAGTGGCTACTAGAAAGGCATTGGTGCGACCTGGATGGTCATAATCATGCATTGCAGCTGCTACATAAAGGGCCATTAGCTCCAAGGCGGGTATGTTCCAGGTCAGACAGCCATAACTGTCATCTGATATCGATGAGCTCTTTGACGAGGCGTAGGACACTCTTCCTGGAGAAATCCCACTGTCTGAGTCTGCAACAGCATCAGGTGTGATTATCCACTCAGTGCCCACACTCTTTTGAGAGACTGAATATTTTGTAAACATTTACCTGTGTCACTTCCTGTCACATGCTCACTATGGATTTGCTGGAACCCAGGGATTGGTCGAGTGGTTAGGTACCAGACAGCATGGAGCACATCAGTAGCATGAACCCGATTATGATCTGCAACATTTTTACAACATGTGGAACAACAATTTTTTACAAGCCTGTATTTCATATTAGCTAGCTACAAAAATCTGGCCTTGACGCAAGAGTACTACAGTACTTACAGGGAATGTCCCTGTAGCCACTTTCTAGAGCACAGAAGAATGCCATAAACTCCCTCACAGGAATTTTGAAGATTTCAAAAAGACATGTGTCCTGGAAAAGTGTGTATGTAACCTAAAACAAAGAGCAGACAGTTAACTTCAATGATATATTAATAAACATTTGAAAGGTAAATGTTTAATACTGACATAGCTGAGTATTCTTCCTGTTTTACCCCCTGTTGTATCGACCAAATCAAAAATCTGAAAGTTCCACGTGTTCATCCTCTCCATCAGCCCTTCTTGGTCTTCCAACATCGGGTCGAGCCTGAACTCCTGCTCCCCCTGCAGAAAAGTGTGACTTAAAACAAATCTGAATTGTTTATTTGTTTTATGTATAAGCTAGAGCTGGGTGATTTTCCTGGAAAATAATAATTGTAATTTTGTTCTCCATTATTTTCTCAATTTTCTATTATCGTTTTGTTTCCTCCTCTCTACTAAAAATGTTCTGCAAATGACAGAGAATGGTCAAAACTGAAAAGACTGTATTCAGATCATATTTAAACATTGGCCATTAGAGAAATATTTAATGAATGAGAAAAAACTATTACGAATATTTAATTAGACGCCCTGTTCTAACCTGTGACTACAGTGAGCAGCCATTCTTGCATTTTCACTGCTAATTCCAATGCAAGAAAGTGAAGAAAATAAAAATTTATTTTCTTCCAAACAAATAGATCCATCCATCCATTTTCGTCCCCTTATCCGGGGCCGGGTCGCACGGGCAGCAGCGTAAGCAGGGACTCCCAGACTTCCTTCACCCCAGACACGTCCTCCAGCTCCTCCGGGGGGACCCCGAGGCGTTCCCAGGCCAGCCGAGAGACATAGTCCCTCCAGAGTGTCCTGGGTCTTCCCCGGGGCCTCCTCCCGGTGGGACATGCCAGGAACACCTCCCGAGGGAGGCGCCCAGGAGGCATCCGGAACAGATGCCCGAGCCACCTCAACTGGCTCCTCTCAACGTGGAGGAGCAGCGGCTCTACTCCGAGTTCCTCCCGTGTGACTGAGCTCCTCACCCTATCTCTAAGGGAGCACGTTCCATCCTCCCCTCACTCGTGAACAAGACCCCGAGATACTTGAACTCCTCCACTTGAGGTAGGGACTCTCCACCCACCCGGAGAGGGCAAGCCACCTTTTTCCGGTCGAGAACCATGGCCTCAGACTTGGAAGAGCTGATCTTCATCCCAGCCGCTTCACACTCGGCTGTAATGCGAACACAGCTCCTGCTCTGGTCATACAGGGACCGGACAGCCCTTAGCAAGGGGTCCCGGATCCCATACTCCCAGAGCACCCCCCACAGGACACCACGAGGGACACGGTGGAATGCCTTCTCCAAGTCCACAAAGCACATGTGGACTGGTTGGACAAACTCCCATGAACCCCCGAGCACCCGATGGAGAGTGTAGAGCTGGTCCAGTGTTCCACGACCGGGACGAAAACCACACTGCTCTTCCTGGATCTGAAGTTCGACTATCGGCCGGATTCTCCTCTCCAGTACCCTGGGGAGGCTGAGAAGTGTGATTCCCCTATAGATGGAACACACCCTCCGGTCCCCCTTCTTATACAGAGGGACCACCACCCCGGTTTGCCAGTCCAGAGGTACTGTCCCCGACCGCCACGCGATGTTGAAGAGGCGTGTCAGCCAAGACAGCCCCACAACATCCAGAGACTTAAGGTACTCAAGACGGATCTCATCCAACCCCGGAGCCTTGCCACCAAGGAGCTTGCCAACCACCTCAGTGACTTCAGCCAGGGTGATGGATGAGTCCGCCTCCGAGTCCCCAGCCTCGGCCTCCTCCTCGGAGGACGTGACGGTGGGATTGAGGAGATCCTCAAAGTATTCCTTCCACCGCCGGACAACGTCCCCAGTCGAGGTCAACAGCTCTCCCCCTGCACTGTATACAGTGTTGGTGACGAACTGCTTCCCCCTCCTGAGGCGCCGGACGGTTTGCCAGAATCTCTTTGAGGCTGTCCGATAGTCCTTCTCCATGGCCTCCCCGAACTCCTCCCAGCTCCAGGTTTTTGCCTCCGCGACCACACGTGCTGCAGCACGCTTGGCCCGCCGGTACCCATCAGCTGCTTCAGGAGTCCCCTGAGCCAGTAAGGCCCGATAGGACTCCTTCTTCCGCTTGACGAAATCCCTTACTTCCGGTGTCCACCACCGGGTTCGGGGATTGCCGCCGCGACAGGCACCACAGACCTTACGCCCACAGCTCCGAGCAGCCGCATCGACAATAGAGGCCGGGAATGAAGCCCACTCAGACTCCATATCTCCAGCCTCCCCTGGTATCCGGGAATAGCCCTCCCGGAGGTGCGAGTTGAAAGTCCCTCTGACAGAGGGCTCCGCCAGACGTTCCCAACAGACCCTCACTACACGCTTGGGTCTGCCAGGTCTTTCCGGCTTCCTCCTCCGCCAGCGAACCCAACTCACAACCAGGTGGTGATCAGTTGACAGCTCAGCCCCTCTCTTCACCTGAGTGTCCAAGACACGTGGCCGGAGGTCATATGACACGACTACAAAGTCGATCATCGACCTCCGGCCTAGGGTGTCCTGGTGCCACGTGCACTTATGGACACCCTTGTGCTCGAACATGGTGTTCGTTATGGACAAACTGTGTTGAGCACAGAAGTCCAATAACAAAACACCGCTCGGGTTCAGATCAGGGAGGCCGTTCCTCCCAATCACCCCTCTCCAAGTGTCACTGTCGTTGCCCACATGGGCGTTGAAGAAACAAATAGATTTGAACTTCAAATTTGATTTCTCAATTTAATAGATTTTTTAGCCCTAGTACAAACTAAAATATTTTTGTAGAAGACACAACAATAAATAATGCTCATATTTAAAATCAGAGAAAGGATGGAAGGGAAAAAGCATAAAGGGAAATGTTGCAGCTAACAAATGAAATAAGGGTGTGACCAAACATCTGGAACAAATGTGAAGCATATGTGTCTAATACAAGGGTCCTTCTCAGGGCAAACCAAGGTTACATATTAAGACCCAGTTCTACCTCTCTTTGCTCTCTTTTGTCATACATGAAAGAATAAGCTGAGAAAGAAACCAGGGCAGTCCCATTTCCAAGTACTGTGTTTTCAGCCCTATCCTTAGCTCTTATTTTAAGGTGCAGTGGAAGGACTAGGACTTTGGCTAAGGGTGGATGATAACTCACCTCTGTTTCCTGAGTTTGCTGCTCTGAGCTGCTCTCCCTCTCCTCTTCCTCCAGGACGGAGCTCCCAGCCACATCTGTCCTGCTGTCTGCACATGCCTCGGCCTCCACACTCTCCTCCCTGATCAGCGGCTCTCCTGTGAACTCTACACCATCACAGCCTGCAGTGGTAATAGCCAATGTAAAACAGTATATTAATTAGATATGCTCATGTATTATGAAAAGCCAGTCAATAAACATAATCCTCATTTACAATTTATTTCTTCATTTATTTCAGGACAGTGCATATTAATCATAATTTTTGTAAATATGCCAGACTTACCAGACAAAGTAATTTCTTTGTCTGTAGACCTGGACAGATTCAATAATTAAATATAACTATTACTAATAATGATGAAATATAACTATTAAAGAGCATCACTTGTTTGTGTTATATGCTTTTTGGAGACATTATATTAAATTGCATTCCCTTTCTTGAGACCGATTCTAACGTTAACCATACCACTTGCCTAACCATAAACCAAATAAACCCTCATGTTGTTGATCTTAAGATCTCAGTCCCAAAATGTGGTAGATAATCACCCAAACATAAACACATCATTTTAAACAAACACAAACAGACACAGGGTAAGAGGCCAGTAGGGGGCAGCGAACGCAGGATCAGACAGTGCCCACCCAGTTCTGCGTCAATGAACCTTTGTTTTCACTGAATTTTCAAAGATAAGAGTCTATGTATCTCATGGCTGTGTGAGTTTCTAATGTGAGGTGTGAGTTTTCATTCTGAGGTAGATTGGCCAAATACACTTTTCCTGGAGATAATGCAGTCCTCTCACTGCTTGGCTATTAGATTAAGTCTTAAATCTTTATAGATTATGCAGAGATTTGAATGTTTGACCATGTTTGCAGAGTAATCTGTGTTTATGTATTATTTGAGAGTGGTGAGAGAGAGAAGTTTAGGCATGTAACAGTATCAGTGACCACATGTGGGCCAGAATATGTTAATTCATTACATGCGAACATTTGAATTCATTTCATATCATGGACAATGCTATAATCTAATAAATACACACATGTTAGTGTTTGACCATTCATTATATTGAAACATTGTATAGACTGGGTAATGGGAACACCTGAACTCTTTAATAGGTATAATACAGTAAATTGTGTACCTGAGCGTCTTCGCTGGCTCTCAGTTGTAAAGGACGAAGGATGAACATCACTTGTTTCACTTGTGGAAAGTCCTTTCAGTATCTGACGTCCACAACTACATACAAAAACACTGCTGGTGATTTAAAGAATACATGCTATGAAATAATGACTTTTAATTGTATTCCCTTCTCATTTACTCACTCACAGTTGTATTTATTATTCATGTATGTTTGGGGAATGTTTTATTCCTCTACATTGAAGACACCTTTTGCTCTGAAAATTCCTCTTTTCCCCCAATATACACCCACTAGTTATACTTTTCAATCTTTTTTTCTTATCATGATACACATAGGATTCAGCAGTGTCCACCCAAAAGCTGGTTACCTTTAAAGCGCGATTCGGTAATTTCTAATCGTCAATTACATTTCTTTATCATGAGATATTTCATCTTTTTTATATGAGGGTCCTTAGGTTTTGCTTCATTATGGAGCGGATTACAGCAATACTCAGCCAATACAGCCAATGTTACTAAAAGCCACTTGATGATTTACATAATATCTGTAATATTGTGAAGGCTACTGAGTCATATATATGTATTTAAGGTCTTAGTTTACCAACAATTATGAATTACTTTCTAACTCTTTTAGGAAAAAAGTGTGCCTATGAGTATTTACCTTGTGCAAAGCTGAAAACTGGAGCTGCGGCTGTTTTGCTGGAAGTCTGGGGAGCTGAAGGTGTAGTTGAGGGGCTTATGCAGGTTGAGATTGAGGCTGGGTTTGGTGAGGAAGTCCGCTGTGTCAGGAAACTCCACTGGCGATCGGGTGACGAGCGATGATGATGCACCCACAGCGGGAGGACTGTGGCTGGGTGAAGTGACCGGGCTTAGGCTTGGAGAAGTGCCTATGGAAAATAAAAGTTTAAAAAACTGTGTTGGGATAAATACCTTTATGTTTGTTTCACTGTTTGTTATGCATTTATAGTCTTTAAAAGTTTGCGCATTCAAATGAATATAAAAAGACTGTTGGAAATCTGTATGGCTGTAGCCCACCTGCTCTCCTGGGCCCGGAGTGATAGGTGAGGGTGACGGAGGATGACCTCTGTTTGGGAATGGTGAGGAGGTTTGCATTGGGTCCATTGGACATGCCTGAGCTGAAGGGCAGAACACACAATTGTTTACAATATTATTGATCCCTACTTGTGTACTCTCTCTAATGTGCACAAAGCTTTTAGTCCCTGACTGCCTCAATAGAAATCAAGACCTTGATGCAGAGCCTCAACAGCCATCTGCTGCCATCCAGTGGTGTTAAATTCTCACTACGTCACAGAGCCTCAGAACAATCATAGCATACTGAATGTCTTAAGTGGATATACAGGAATATTTTGACTTTTAATACAATTTTTTTCTGCCTTCCTGTTTATTTAGCACTACTGTATTACCCAATATGGATGTTCAATATGCTTAAGAATCTGCCCTTAAAATGAATGTATCGTATGCACGTGATACCTGGTCATATTAAGGTCAGGGTGTGGTCTCTTCCCATTGTTGCGTTCCCACCGTAAAGAGGCAGATTCGAGAAGAGGGAGAGTAGAGGAGGAGGAGGTGGAGCTTCTGCGCGGCTGAGGTGTGGGGAGGCTGTTTCTGCTGCTTAGGCCCTACAGAGTAAACATTCAATCATATTTAACTACTGTGGACTTTATGCATACAATAATACCATAGATTAAATGGATTCTATAGTAATACAACTGGAGATAAAATAACTGTTTTTGTACCCCATTGGGGAGTATATGAACAAGAGCAACAACAGGATAGTAAAAATATGCATGCACAGTATGTAATTCTATTCAGTTCTTAGACTACAGTTCATATTAAACCAATGTTCATAAATTAATGCCACTTATTTTACTCATCATGCAACATGATGTGTTTAATTCAACACAAATGGGTATTTGTAGGCTTAAGTCATGATCAAACTAAATTAGCTCCATGACACAGCTCTGTATAATTAGCACCGCATGCATGCCTTTAAAACGTTGCAAAGTTTTCCATAGGGCAGTTATTTCCAAATAACTAGTTATTCAACTTTTAATCATTGCAGATTTATTAAACAAGTAGAGCTTGACACATTCTCACAAAAGCAAAAATGCTAGCATAGTAAATAAAACATTTAATGCTAAATTGTTATAAAGAAATAGCAAAGTTACATGAAGATAAATTGTGAATGAAGTGTAAATTAAAGCTGATGGAAGTACAGTGCTGCACTTCTTAGTCTTCCAGGGATTATCAGTGATAATCCACACACCCACCTTTATAGATTTCCTGTCCCCCCTCTCCACAGAGTCCTCCATCTCATCACAGGGGTAGAAACCAGGGAAGGGGGTGAAGGGGTTGACCCGGGGCCGGCACGACCCTGAGAAAGTCCCCATGAGGCTGGAAACACTGCGCAGGACGGAGACAGTGTGTGGAGACAGGGACGCGTCCATCAGCAGGTCAGACACCAGGTTTCTGGCTTCATTTATAACAGAGAGGTCCACACCATTGCCACTCACAGCCCCCTGTGCCAAACAATAACAAAACCTCAGCAACTTTGAATATTTACATGACTGAAGTAATGTGCTGAACCAAGTACAAGTACACTACTGCACTAACTACTAAGCTGCATGATGAAGTGCTTCAATTGAGTTTTATTTGTTAAACAACATTCAACGGAAATAAAAAGGTAGGACTATGCTAGGAGTCTAGGACATGATCAAAACTAACCCAGGCTTAAACAGGATTAAACCAGAATACATATTGTGGTAGTTGCAATTACAAAAACAAAATATTGAGGCGCTCCAACAGATGCAAATATTGTTGTTCTTTTTTATATAAATCCTTGTCAAGTACATGGCTGTCTGAACTAAATAAATACTTTTGGCTTATGAGAGCTAAATTCCTTGACAGATTACCCCAACAGTTCAAACAGGACAAAGAATGTCTGCATAAGATAAAGTGTGGCATGACTGAAATTTCAAGGTCGTGATATGCTGCCTTTTCAACTCATTGTGTGTTTTCCCAGACCAAAAATAACAACAGGACTGATAGCAAATGCTTACACAAACTTCAACATATTTTAAAATACACATAATTTATTTCTGCGTTTGAGAATGTGAATTTTAATACTGACCTGATACTGAGGTTTGTACCAATGTTTCAAATCCCAGTCCCATAGTATCATCTGCAAAACAGGAGAAGGAAATCAGTTAAGTTATCTGTCTGTGCTCTGATAACACATAATTTATGTGACATTTTTAAGCGTGTTTACATAGAATTTGCACAGTATTTGACCTCTGTATGAGTTTCAGTACACAAAGCTACAGAATTTTTCCATGGGGGTACCAGCAGACCAAAGGAAGCATTGTGACTTTATGGTGTTGCTTATAGAAAGTGTAGAAAGACTTTACATTGAGAATTTCCTCCACTACATTAAACACTTTACACTGCAGATATGCTAATCAACACAACTCTAGTGACAGCTGACTGAAAGCAAAAGTAGCAAAAGTAAACCACTAAAACCGCAGTGGTGCGTCGACAATGGAGCAGTGAGAGCTTATCTGGCCCTAACTACGTCAATGGGCTGCATTTCCACACTATCTGTTCATAACCAAACAGCTCACACACATTACACCAGTCAACCTTGTAACTCTAAGACGCACAAACTCAGGCAACTTCATCTGCTCAATCAAGTGACAAAGAAATCATGTGTAATGAATGCTGCAGATTTTAGGCTGCAATATATTTACTTTACATTTACAAAATTTTGTATAATCTTTTTAAAATAAAACTTGGAATTACTTGCAAACCAAATATTGAACTAAATATAAAAATTTTAATTCTGCTAAATTTGTTATTTATGTACTAACCTATTTTAATCAAAAAGGTAATGCATTCTCCAGTCTCACCACTAGGGGGATTTGTACATTATTCAAGAAACCTACACAAACAAAGCTGTCTTAACAGCAGAAAAAATCAATACTTTAATGTGACTTCCTCCCAAGTAATGCTGTTTAGCTCTGCTGAGCGATGAGTGATGCAACAATTCTCATCTCCAGAGATTAAAGATCACATTAAACTATTTGAGTCCATAACTTTATAGTTACACACCTGAAATGTGTAGCACAGACCAGTGCTTGTTCCCTCATCTTTAATCAGTGCCTTTTCATTGATCAAAGTGGGATGTTGGGTGTTTGTCATCAGCATCTGTACAATGCTGCCAAACATTTAATATGGCAAATAAGCCCTGCCATGGCAACCCGACACAGAGGCCAGCAAACAATGCTCTGTACTCCATGGCAACGGGATGGCTGGAGACGGCCGGAGGACAGGGCTGCTGGCCTTCTACTTGTTTACGAAGAAGACAGGTAGAAAGGTTGAAACAATGTGCAGCTAAAGCACAATATTCAACTATTATCACATGGAAAAATTTGTATATATATTTTTTGTGACTCTTGTAGGTTGTACCCTGACTTAACATACATGGTAGCATACATGGTAAACAAAGTAAACAGTGCAGGAGGGCTCCTGGGTGTGTTAACTGAATAGAGAGTGCAGTGCTTTCAAAACATGACAGTAAAATCTGTCAATGAACAGGAGGTTCTGACATGTTTTGAAAACACAACATGCACACACAGCCCCTCTCAGACACACGCACCACTGTAGAGTCCACATGGCCACTTTATAGACAATGCAACTTTCAAAATCAAGTATGAGTTTTTAATGTTTCTGTTGTTAAACAAACACAAAAAAGTCAATGGCAATTCTCTTTGAAAATGAGCTGTGTACATGTCATGTCTCTTTGGGGAACAGCGTAATAAGACATAAAATGTGTGAAGCAGCAAACGTGATTAAAAAGTCTTACAGTGTAGGCTTCTCTTCTAAGGAGTTAATAAACCTGAGCCCACCATTAGATAGCAGTTAGTTACACCTGCATGTCATATTAGCTGCCGGTTCTCACTGTGGTGTGAGAGCTGTAGGGCATTGCTCAAAGTGCAGAAAACATGCTAATAAGAGTGCACTGGGGAAGGGATTGAGGTAGTATTGATATGAGGAGGTGCTTTTGTATGAAGAAGAGCAGGCCAGTGCTGATGCCGGGCACCACGCCACGGCGCGTCAGCAGCACACACATGCACTCTCTGATAATGAGCCCCACCAAAGAACGGTCTCCTCCTCTGCTTTAGGACGAGCAGTGTACTGTAGCCTACAGGAGTCTGATCTGCTCAAACTGAACAGAGAAGGTGGATGGCAATTTGGGCCTGACAACAGCAGTCACCACAAGCACTGTCTGAACTTTTACCTGAGCCTGCACTTCAACTAAACATACGAACAAGAGGGAAGACAAGAGAGATTTTTTTCTCAAAGTAATGTATACATATTATCTAAAATATGTAAAAACTGTAAAATGCTAACTGAGCCATCTTCAGTAACTATTAGTCTGGCTGATCTGGCAGGTGAGTGGAACATTCTTTCAGCAGTGAAAGGAGCTCATGCAAAATGTCATTGGTGTCTTTCACACTCTTGTACCACTTCAGGATACTGCTGTTGTTCAGACCAGCTGCTTTGGACACATTTCATTTATAGTTAAAGTGGGGTTTTGTGATTAATTACATTTTAATCAAGATCGAGATTCCGTCATTTCTAATTGTCAATGATATGCTTAGGTCATTTTAAGAGGTCAATAGCCAATCCTCTATCAATAAAAGCATTTTGGAAAAGGACATTGTACTATTTCTTGTGTTAAATGCCAATGACCAAAAATGTGTGTGTATATATATATATATATATATATATATATATATATATATATATATATATATATATATATATATATATATATATATATATATGTATATATGTATACACATACTGTGTTATCCAAATTATCACTACAGCTACTTCTACAGCTCATGGTATTGTGACATTACGGAGTGAGCGGTGAACAGACATTTGTCAGTGCATGGAGCTTACGAGGCTTTGTTTACAAGAGCCAGTGGATGTACAGCACACACCCTATAGACACACACCCACAGATCCTTTGAAGGAAAAAGATATCAGCCGTGGTCTATTTCCTGACCGTTACGCCACGTCCCCAGACCGACCAGGCAGGCAGCACACGCACACAGCCAAGAGAAACACTACGTCAAAAGGTTACAACTCAGGGGGAATTCAGTACACTCAGCCAACTGCCTTCTTTCTATTTTGTATCTTTTAGGCACACAATGAACTTACAACACAGCCTAAACAAGAGAGTGGAGTTGAGAAAGAAGGGGAAAAAGACACTGGCAGAGCGGAGGGGCTGTTAATAGGCCACAGACTGCAGGTGTGTCCTCATTTCAGCAGAAATAGAAGAGGATACATGAGGATCAACACTGTACAGGTGGAAGAAAGAAGTATTACAAATATGAACTAAAAAGTAACATAAAGTTACTTAAAGTTGTAGTATGTAACTTTTCTGGAAGGGAGTCCGCCACCAGCAGCTTTGTTTGGAATGTTCAGCGGTTTGGTATTAAACGTACAGTATCTATCTTGTATTTATTCAATTACAGGGAAATCTATTGCTAGAAATACCTTGAAAAACATGTATTCTTATGCTAAGTGGTATCTCTCTCCACAGATTTGACCTGTAATTTAGCATGATGATAGATAAGATTAATGCCTTTATATTATTTTATTCACTGACCCAAGTTTGGTGGTTTGAATCCCGATCTCGACATAAAGTTTCACTGACCCACAGGTTGGCGGTGCGATTCCAGCTCACACAGATGAATGCTGTTGTTGTGTCCTTGGGCAAGACACTTAACCCAATTCACCCCCAGTGTCTGCACACACTGGTGTATGAATGTGCTGTGAATGGGTGAGTGGTTCCTTGATGTAAAGTGCTTTGAGTACCTTGAAGGTGGAAAAGCATTATATAAAATGTGATCATTTACATCCGCAGAGACAAAAAGGTAGTGGGCCCTCCACCCATTATTACTATTACTACTATTAGGCTACTTATCAGGCCGATATAAAACATATTTTTATATAATGTAATTGTATATACTGCTTATATATAAACACATGAATTGTTAAGAATGTGGATGGGTAGACCAACTTTTCAGACAGTTCTGAGCTTTGCGTGCTCTGGTGCTACAAATTCAGAGTTATGTGCGTCAGTAGATTAAAAATGTACAATAAGATATTCTCTTATGGTGTATTGTGTCATTGGCCTCATATCATTGTTGGAGTCAGACTTCTCATTTCAACCATTGACTCACACACGTTTGTGCAGTTGGCCTGTTGCCAGAGAAAGTAAAGCTTGCATAATGACAAACATAATATGCAGGCATAACACAAATGCCACAATCTGAGTAAGGTCAGTCTAAGTACGTCAGTGATGAACTTTTTCTCACAATGCTTCAGTTTCACACTTAAATGACCTGCGATTTCAGAATTATTGGCAGAGCTGCTACTCTGCCAATAAATGTGACTAACACTAACTAGAGGGAGGCAATATATCAAATTATTGTGAATGTTGTTTTGAATACTTGGTTTATTTAGTATAAATAAAAAATCACCATGCTGTACAAAGAGCTGATTAAAAATTTAATAGAATTTTGTTATCTTTCCAACAAGAGTACAGTGGCATTTCTGCACTTTTATGGGTCATTTTATAGTCCTTCTGAATTTTAAACCTCAGCGTAAACATTTACAGTCATGTTTAGAAAATTTTTGTTGGATTGGATTGCCTGTGTAACCCCTGCCAAAATATATCAATAAATTTTTGTCAATATCGTCCACCCCTAACTACAACTACACAAATATAGGCACACTAAATATTAGATACTACAGTCCCACACCTGACTCATACTTTGGAACTTCTGAGTGATTCTAAGATAATTATTATTATTTTTTTTTTTTTTAAATCATGTAAATGCTGTCCAAAACTAAAACGATTATATGGTTAATATTTTCAAGTTTCCAAGTCACTTGGTCCCCCATACCACACATTTCTATGAGAAATATATTTACATTCTGTTTTAGATTCAAATCAGCAACAAGAGAACAACCAGATGGACCTCTTCATTAAGTCCAATGCAAATTAAATGAGAGAAGAAAGTGACAGATAACAGCTGTAGTGATGTGATTTTTATATAATGGAATAGGATTTAACCCTAGAGTGATGCTGGGTTTACTGCAGCCCCACTCACTAAATCAAGTCTATAAATAGCTGCAGGTGGTTTACACACAGACTATGCAAGTTAAAATTTACCCTATATAACCTCCATAAACTTAAGGACTTAAGCTCAAAAGAACACTAATGCCAGAAGGTATATCTCTTGTTCTTTTTCATTAATTACCATTTTATCTTTTTGAAATTGTTTATGAGTTACATCACACTTATATGGGCATTTTGGATCTTTCAGGCAAATCATATTAAGATAAACGAAACACTGTACAATGAAAAGAATAAACATACGCATAACCTAAACTGCAGTCTCTATATCCTTATTTTATAGAACTATTTAAAGCCAATGACATTCCTTCACAGTCCCCACTTATGACTCTGAAAAGCTGCTGGTGTAAAAACTTTTCTTGACTTCTGACTGCATAGAGGTTGTTATACAGTCTGTATAACAACCTCTATGCAGTCAGAAGATGTCTAGGCTGGGCGATATTGATCAATCACAATTTTCAATTCAACTTTATTTTGTCTTATTGAAAACACATCAAAAATGGCTTTCAAAATTAATTACCTGAACATACACACTTTCAGTTACTGCTATTCAACACAAAATGGTCAATATGTTCCCTCCAAAGTCTGAACTCTCCAAACCAAATATGGCTGTAGACCTCTCGATTAAAAGAACACAAGCATATCATTGTTGATTGGAGATGAGTTTCTGTATCAGTTAAAATGTGTTTACTTGCACAGCCCTATGTCCATGTTGAAAATGTTCATTCCCCTGAGGCATTTTCCAAAGCATTCTCAATACTTTTTTGTTTTTATTATTACTTTTTAAAGTTTAAAATTTAAAGTACTTTTCAACGACCCATTTAAACAATGAGCAGGCCCAGAGGCAGCTGGAGGCAGAGGCCTGGTTAAAACAGGAAGGCTCTACCTGATATGGACATAGAGTGCATCAGGGAGGCTCACAGCCTTGTAAGGGAACATCTGGTTTTATCATGGAATCAGCACAGGCTCCTCTCATAAACACAAGCTAACGCCTGAGCCCTACAGCACCAGCCAATAACAAGCAAGTGAACGCAGCACCATCCATCAGCCTCAGCCAGAGGAGGAGCAACCAGGAGAGAGGGAAGTAGGGAGAGAGGGACAGAGGGGGAAGAAAGAGAGGGAGAGACTGATAGATAGAAATGCAGAGTAAATCATTTCCAGTGAGGCGCTGACAGGCCTGGAGCAGCTCCACATCCTCACTCTGCTTTATGAATGACTTCTCAAAGTTGTTATTAAACTCTTCAAGTCAGGTCAAAGGTCAAAGACACTAATGTTCACTTTTAAACACCTTTACATCAATCATTCCAGTTGTACAACCTGCTCCGGGCTCCATTATACAAATCCAAGAGCATTAATAAAATAAAATATGAACTGCTAAAAAATAAAAAAATAAAAAAATCAGAAAACAAAAAATCATGCTGCAGTCTAAAACTACAGAGTTAAAAAGTTGTTTTCCATAAAACAGGGAATTTTAATTTTCCTAGATAATTGCAGTACTGGTATGACATTTTCATGCAGTGTATTTTAAATGTTTAATTGAGTCCTGCAATGGCGCATAGAACTACAACAGGAACTAAAAATACTACTGCAAAGCACCTGATGGTGATAAAGGGATGATTCATGACACTGCCCCAGGTCTTGACACAGGTGGGGGCTCCGGCGTTCTGCTGTTGGACATAGAAAAATATAACACAGATATACAGCTAGTGTACTCAGCACTGGAAACACATAGGTTATCACAAACTTGTTGCTATAAAATAGCACAACCCACTGCCCTTGTCAAACATATTTTATTGAACACGAGAGACAAAGTCAAACATAACTCTGGGGCATGGAGGAATCAACATGTTGCACTAGTAGCCGTGGTGCTATAGCTCTGCCTATATAAGCACAGGCACATGGCACACACTGGAGTATAAATACTGGAGCAGCAGCTGACAGTCGCCACAATCAACACAACAAACCCACGGCAGGTTTACTAAACACAGAGAAGCAGAGCAAAGGTGAGCTCTGCACTTCATAACACACTTGTCACTAATACAGTAGGGCTGTTCATGGTTACAGTCACTCCAAATAAACCCCACAGGAACATATACTGTACCTGGATTATACTTTGAGAACTATGGATATATACCGGTGTACTCTGTGTCAGTCCCAAGACTGGATAAAGGGAGAGTTATATCAGTAAACTAACCTAGAGCAAAACCAATGCCAAATCAATATGTAAATCACATATGGATGATTAACCTCAAGAAGGCTTAAATGTTAGTTCCTGAAACAATATATCGCATGATCTGATGCCTCGACTTTATTGACCAGAGTAATGTGAAACCTCCTATGGACTTAATGATGGAGCCAGCATGTATAGTCTGAAGGCCTATGCCCCAGGCCTCAGGCTGTGTATATGTATATGAAATGTATATGTGTGTATATGTGTATATATGAGGGTTAAAGTTGATCCAGTTGATCTTTTGATACAAGGTTGAGTACGGAAATGGAGGAGGGTCACACTGTAGCCATAAGTTTAAAATGCCAAGAGTGTGTGGACTTAGGAGGAAGCCATTTCAAAAGATGCTTTAACAGATCAAAACTGTCATAGCAAACAACACATATATATTCAGACTAAAGGTAGTTTATTATATACTATAGTGTTATAGTAGGAATATACCCCCTAAACCAGGCAGCACTTAAGTACAGGTACAAGCTTCTTCTTCTATGAAAATGTCCATCATTTATTTAGATGTTACCTTTGATTTGCACTGAAACATTGTTCTCATTAAAACAGATTTATAAAGCCAGATTAAAAAATAACCAATAATTCATATTACTATAGATGGTAATGGAAGATAAATAAAGAAGTTAAAGAAAACTGCAGTATAAAACAAGGTTGTAGTTTGACATTGCATCACTTCAATACTCAGTCTGTTTTTAGCACATTTCTTTTGTATTGCAAAAATATAATCAGATTATCTTTACTGGAAGAATAATCAAAAACAGAGAGAGGCAAAATGACAAAAATGACAAGATGAAAAAGACAAAATGGCTTTACCCTGTCAGTGGCTTAGGATAACTAGTACTTGTAATCAGGCCTGTTAACACTGTGACAATAATCTGTGGCCATATCCCAGAGTTTGGCCTCTTGTGAACAATACAGAGGACATGTGGTGTAATGAATCATAAAGTGTATGTGTGTGTGTGTGTGTGTGTGTGTGTGTGTGTGTGTGTGTATGTGTGTGCGTGTGTGTGTGTGTGTGTGTGTGTGCGTGTGTGTGTGTGTGTGTGCGTGCGCATATGTGTGTATGCGTGTGTGTGGCTAAACTACTAATGGATCAACCAAGTTTATCTACTCTAGCAAGATGTTTCCTAAGAATTAAAGTTCCATGCACACAATGTAACTTATTAACCTACATTTGCAACGTCCCGCTTGAAAAATTGAAGCGGTAAACAAAGACATCAATTTAGTGACTGCCCTGGTCAGTTCAAGCAGTTCAGATTTCACGTAAGGTCACTAAACGAGGACGAAATGGAGGGGGGTAGAGAGGAGGACGACGAAGTCTGGGAATTGATTACATGAACAATAGAAAGAAAAAGAGCTTTGTGGAAAGAGCCCGAACGTAAAAGAAAAGTTCAAAATTATTTGAAAATAGCTTGGAGACGTTGAGAGTTGGGGTCTCCGACTTGTGCGTGCCTTGTGGGCGGGGCTATGGTGAAAAAGAAAAGAACAGGCAGTAACAGAGTAAAGAAAAGTGGTAGGGGGTGGGGACTGACCAGCTTCTCTCCTAAAATGACCCAAACCTTATTGTTTTCAAGTATATACTTATATCACTGTATAGTCTGATGTATAAATCAAAGTGGGTAATTGAAAATGGCAAATGAGTTTGTCGAAGCTGGGATTTTCATTGCAGTGACTAATAGTGGTTCACAGTTTTGCCCTTTTCAGTGGGATCTGCCCTCAGCTGCTAAACACACACAAGCCCTCCTCTGTAGCTGCAGCTGACGTCAACCGTCACTTAGCAACCGCCTTTTGGTGTAAAAGCAGCAGTGCTGACACCGTTTTCAAAAGAGAGACAGAGAAAGAGCCAAAGAAATTCAGAGAAACCAGAGCAGATAGAGAACAAGAAAGAATAGAGCAGAGAGGAGAGAGGAGTCTGTGCTCCAAACAGTGTACGTGTGTGTTACAGATAAATTAGGAAACGTAAACCATGTCACTCGCACACTTTACATTTGGACTGGACACTTTTATATGTCCCTTTAAGGCAAATGGAAAACTATGAGGCTATGTAAACTCATCTGGAGACAATTAACAGCCTGTAAATGATTAAAAGTATGTAGACAATTACACAGAAATGGGAAAATCTAGCATGCTGTTCATCACATTTTCTTCTTTCCACTTTGCAATTACATTTGGTAAGAATCACTGTCTGCCACAGCTCATGATTTAATAGAAAATCATCTCTCTCTGGCTCTTTTTAAACGCCTGCGACTGAGCACAGAAAACAGACGACCCAAAGTTCAACAACCTCATCGTGAACTGAAAAGTCAAGCACAGTTTGCATGGTGGGTCTCGCACTAACTCGTAACTCACACAATCTGGGCTCATGCAAGACATTTCTGTACTTTTGTTTTTACTTTAAAATGCTTTTATTGCATTTGTTTGTTTGTGTTGCATGATGAGTGAAATGTACATGTAATAAGATAAACAGTTTATTTATATTTGTATTAATTAACATTATTATTGTGATGCTTAAAAACAGCATTCAGTCAGTGTTCTCAACCGAACCAGAGGACTAACTATCACTCATCACTCACTCGCCACTCATTTTATATTTATTTATTTATTTATTTAATTTTTATTTATATTTATATATTTATTTATGCGGCCAAAAGGCTATCTTTAATATAAAATAAAATCTTTCTAGAATCTTTGTGTACTAATTCCAAGTTTCACTACAGATTTTTGTAGTTAATACGTATTTTAAAGTAGCACGAAAAAATACAAAAGGCACTTTAGTACTCCCCTCAGGTAACTAAATGTTACTTAGATACCAATAGAACAAAAGAGTATGTGACCATAGTATCTGTAAGAATGAGATACTGAATGCCTTATATGCACACAAAATATGCACAAAAACAGTCTAGTCCTTGAACCAAGTTACCATACTTGACAATGACAGCTGTAAAACAGGATCACAAAAAACACACAGAGGTGCATTTTGTAATACAAGCAAGAGCATTAAATACAATAAAACAAGGAA